TCTAGGCTTACGTAAGAAATTAAGATTGTGTGATCTAGCATAATGTATAATGTCTTCTACTATAGTACAGATTTCTCATGGGGTACATCCTCAGTAAAACTCAATTTGATAACGCTTGCACAATCATTGATGATCACAACATTCTTCAAGTTTCGTGAAACAGCAAATAGACATGCTTGTCTCACCGCCATAGCTTCAGAGAAAAGATGAATCATAAATTTTGATATTTTAAATTCAAAATTTGACAATTCTATATTTTAGTTAAGAATTTCTCATAACATAAATGACTTTCTCTTTAATTAGATGATCCGTACACGCTTGAGTGGAACGGTTTGGTTGAGTTTTTATATTCTTATTGTGTATCTAACATTAAATATTGTAATGTAAGTGTATTGTCTTAATACGTACCCTGTGTCGTCTCCAACAGCAATGGCCATCGCCATACAATCTCCATGCCTCTACAGATGTCCATTATACACCGCCCTCTATTCTCTGGAAAATAATAAGCACAGGAAGAGACTAAAACAACAAAAACAAAAGCAAATTCATCAAAACACAAAACCCAAAATCTCAATTCCAAAACCATCTCCTACCCCACTTCTCATTATCCAAAAACCCCAATCCCAAACAAAACTCCAAGCTCTCGACGACATTGTCACCAACCTCGAAGCCTCTCTGAAAAATCGCATCCAAATCGATACCCAGATCTTCTCTTCCCTTCTTGAAGCATGCTTTCGTTTACAATCCATTGATCACGGTATTCGAATTCACCGCCTTGTACCGGATAAGCTTTTACGTAAAAATTTGGTTATTTCATCGAAGCTCCTTAGATTATATGCCTCTAATGGCTACATGGAAGAAGCCCACCAATTGTTTGATGAAATGGCTAATCGGAATGGTTCGGCTTTTCCATGGAATTCACTTGTGTCAGGGTATGCGGAACTGGGTTTATATGAGGATGCATTGGCCATTTACTTTCAAATGGAAGAAGAAGGTGTTGACCCGGATCAGTTCACGTTTCCTCGCGTGTTGAAAGCTTGTGGAGGAGTTGGAATGGTTCAAATTGGTGAGGAAGTTCATCGTCATGTGGTTCGTTATGGCTTTGGGAATGATGGGTTTGTTCTTAATGCACTAGTTGATATGTATGCCAAGTGTGGTGATATTGTTATGGCTCGAAAGGTCTTCAATGTGATTGCTTGTAAGGACTTGGTTTCTTGGAATTCAATGCTTACTGGGTACATTAGACATGGACTGTTAATGGAGGCATTGGATCTCTTCCGGAGGATGATGCTTGATGGACATGAGCCTGACTCAGTTGCCATTTCTTCTATTCTGACTGGCTTGTCTTCTATGAAACTTGGAGCTGAAATTCATGGATGGGTTCTTCGTCGAGGAATTGAGGGGAATATGTCCATCGCCAATTCTCTGATTGTTATGTACTCCAATCGTGGTAAGTTGGATCGAGCGAGTTGGTTGTTTGATCACATGCCTGAACGGGACGTGGTTTCATGGAATTCTATAATTTCTGCTCACAGTAAGGATCCAAAAGTTCTATCATACTTCCAGCGTATGGAGAGTGTTGGTTCGTTGCCCGATGGCATCACATTCGTGTCATTGTTGTCAGCCTGTGCTCATTTAGGTATGGTGAAGGATGGAGAGAGATTGTTTTCAATGATGATAGAGAAGTATGGGACCAGTCCGATCATGGAACACTATGCTTGTCTGGTGAATCTTTACGGTAGAGCAGGATTGATCAATGAGGCATTCGACATTGTAGTGAATAGAATGGAGTATGAGGCTGGTCCAACTGTGTGGGGGGCATTGCTATATGCTTGTTACCTTCATGGCAATGTGGATATAGGAGAGACTGCTGCAAAGATTCTTTTTGAGTTGGAGCCTGATAATGAGCATAATTTTGAGCTTTTGATGAAAATTTATTGGAATGCGGGGCGTTTGGAGGATGCAGAGAGAGTGAGATCAATGATGGTGGAGAGAGGGTTGGACTCGTAGATTCATGCAAAATCATGCTTTGTACATCCCAAATTTGGTTATCCAATTCATCACGACGAAGCATTGCTTGTGTAAAGCCCAAGTCCAAGTGCCATGGAATCGGGAACCTATGAGGAGATTTTTTTCTGTATGATAATCAAAGGGAGTGGGAAAGCTGCAGTAATTCTTTTGGAAAGTCTGGTTCTCTGTCTTCAAGCTTTCATTCCTCAATCCACTTATTCGTTCCTTCATATACCTCTCCACCAAGAGAGAGAGACAAATGGGAATAACCGAACCACGTCTACAAAATGCCAGAGCTGCTTCAAAGCCACCTTCAACTGTAATCTGGAGCCAAATGCCATGGAATCCAGCCACGGTTGTAGGGTTGTTTTTTTTTTTTTTAAAAAAAAAAGGCAAATATCATGTATAGATACAAAAATAGGAGAGCAATAAAGTATTTTAACGAAGATATTACTTTATAGAATTCATGTTATCCTTGGGTGTTTTTTCGGATGACTGTAACATGTCCTAACCACTTGTTAGTTGGATTATTACTAATTGTAGATATATGTAGGCAATCGTAAATCACGTGTATGGTATAAATCAAGACTCATTTACGAGAATCAAACTCAAAATCTCGAGCCAATAACATATGAAAACTTATCCTAACCCTAAAGGCTTGTATCCTTATATCTTGAGGGTCAATCTTCCATAGTTGATATCTATTTCTGTAGAAGAGAGAATATTAAAAGTACAAAAGAAGAATGGAAGAAGTCTCCAAAGCCAAGATATGTACTTGCTGCATAAGTTTATGGGGGATTTACCTGCAAATTTTGCAAGAAGAAAGCATATGTAGTTTGGAGAAAGGTTTCAGAGACAATGCTGAGCTTCAAATAAAACCACCTTGAGCAAAGTGGGTTTTGTACGTGCTATGAATGCTTTATTCATTAATTGCGTCAATTAGGATAAAAAATTGAGGTGTGATAGATTGATATCAAAATCTAAAAATTATAGAAAATAGGTTAGCCAAAGCCACGATCGGTAAGATTAACTTGATAAACTATTATTGAGCATTATTGATCAACACCATTATTTATGATTTACTAAGGTAACTCGTGTGCAACATAAGTGAGAATGGATTGGGAGGGGAAGGGGGTAATTCAATGTGAATAATATTAGTGACTTTTGAATAAGTCTATTTGAAATAATTGAGTGATCTTATTAAAGTCTGTCTTGTTTTATATTATAGACTGACATACCCACTTGTACACGATGAGCTTTACGTAAAGGATATGACTCTAGTACCGTCAATGAAATTTTGGTANGTCTGTCTTGTTTTATATTATAGACTGACATACCCACTTGTACACGATGAGCTTTACGTAAAGGATATGACTCTAGTACCGTCAATGAAATTTTGGTACCATACCTCCAAAATTTATTATTTCAAATGGTATTTTTATAACTTTTGTGGATCATTTTATAATAAAAAATTTATTATTTTTGTAGCTGATTTACCACTTTTATAATTTTGGATGGTGTTATTACTATCTTGGTAATTATTTTTTTATCATTTTTCTTCGTTGCAAAAAAGTTTACCATTTTTTGTGTGTGATTTACTATTTTTATGAAGGGTTAATTGTAAGTTGTACTCCGAAAGATTGTTTGAATATCAATTTACACTACCAAAGATCAAAAATTTTAATTTATACCCTCAAAGATAGAAATTTGTATCAATGTGCATCTAAAACTAAATTTATAAATTATACCTAAATCTCGTCATGTTTGTCACTTAATTATTTGGACCCCTTAATATTTAGAATATTACTACTACGTCTCATGACGTTTGTGTACGTGTAACACGTAACCTCATTTCGTTAATATCTATTAATATAATGGTTAAAAAATATGATTTTGTCATAATAAAAAATTATAATTTCATATTATCCTTTATTTTGTATGTCCGATATATTCTGAGGTTTAAAATCAAGCTTACCATTTTAATGTCTAAAATGTAGACATTTATATAATATTTTTTATATCTGATGCAATATATCACTCAATGTGCAACCCTTTATTCTATTAAACATTCAAATGGTAAGATTCATTTTGAACTTTAGAGTATAGGGGTTACATGTTACACGTATACAAATGTCATCAGATGTAAGAGTAATATTTTAAATGTAAAGGGGTTCAAATAATTAAATGACAAGAATAAGGGGATCTATGTATAATTTATTAATTTAGTTTTAGGTGTACATTGATACAAATTTTTATATTTAAGGATATAAATTATGATTTTTTATTTTTGAGGGTACATATTAATATAAATTTTTATTTTTAAGGGTATAAATTAAAATTTTTAATTTTTAAAGATATAAATTAAAATTCGAACGAATGTAATTCGTAATTAACCTGAATATGATCACCATTGTTGTTGTGTGCTTTTTGTTTAATTAATGCAGTTGTTGGATAATTGTCATTCATTAACAATAATTGCACGACATGTGATAAATGAACTTTTAAATTAATATTTTCTCTGTGAATTATTGTCCTTTCCTGCTGTTGCTTGATTTAAGGAGCAATGCCGTACAAATAATATAATTTTTATTTATTAATTTATTCATTGAAAGTGACCTTTCAAAGAGGCATATCGTTTGTTTGTTACGTGTATTTTTTTTTTTTAATTTTTTTTAAAAATTTTTATCACTTAATTATTTTTTAAATAAATGCAAATCATCTAAATAAATCGTTGAGATTGACGGAGGCATGACAAATTGGGTATCGTAGCCTTACTCTAAAGCAACCAATTACCAATGGATCGAATTTTGATTTGAATTCGATTAGTTGGATATGAATTAATATTTTTTATTGATAATTTAAACCCAAATTCGAATTTGATATCTCATATTTCACAGATTCCAATTTAGATATACTTATTTTCGATCCAATTATAAACCGATTGGAATCATTTATATATAAATATTAAAGAAATTAAGCTAAAATTTAGATATAATTTGTAAAAATTTAGTTAATTAAATTATTCGGATCGTATCAAATTTCTAAATCAAATTTTGAATTGATAATAGATTCGAATATGAACCACGAAAATAAAATTCAACGAATTATTGGATTGAACTTTTAAAACCGAATTCTGATTTGGATCAATCTAAACCCAATCTGTTGGCAAGCCTACGTCATAACGACTTCTTTCTTAAACCCTAAGGACTATCTTAAAAAGAGCTGTGATTTAATGAACGCCTCTCAATCTTTTTAATCACTTCACGTGCATGGTGGATTCAATTTCCACATTCCGTGGTGAATTATACAATTTTCTTTTGACAGTAACACGAAATATTACAATTCAATAACAAGGTACCACCTATGTATGACATACTTTGTTTACACTTTATAACGAGTAATACTATTTGATCTTAAAAATTTGATCTAATTTATTGACATAATGATATAGTTTCATAAGAATCATTAGATCAACACCAAGTTCTAATGTTTGATGGGATCTATAATAAATCTAAATGTCACGGTAAATTAGGTCTCAATCGCATTGCTTATAAAAGAATCAAATATCTTCCTTTTTTGTCGTCGGCGTCGTCCTAATGGCTCCTCCGTGTTCAATTCAAACTCAACCACATTCACTAAACAATATACTGAATTAAATGCATTAATGTCACACTCCTAAAATGTTGATCAACAAGGAGGCAAGAGGGTGAGCAAAGACAAATTTGCCTTGTATGTATGACAGGAGGTTGCTTTCAGGCCTTAAATTGTAGAGGGCCCTGAAAATGGAGACAGCTCTTGCATGTTGCATAGGCGTGGTTTAGTGGACGACTCTGTCCTCCGGTAATTTAGAAATTTTCATTTTAACATTTTTTATATTCTTTAATGATCAACAACTCTGGTTCTTCATGGGATTTGTTTTGAATTTCCCAGCAGTATCACCTTTGTTCTCTGAAGCTGAGGCAGTTCGCCTTGCCTGCCTCAGCCTGACTGCTGATGCTCTCAAATGCCACACAATTATGAATGACTGTCTTTCTATTATTAAGCTTAGTTTTACGGAGGAAGTTCTCCCGTGAAAAATTAAAATTATTATGGATGATATTAGATATTTTGTTAAATTAAACAATTTTAACTTTTTACACAAGTCTAGAACTTGTAATAGGACTGCTCATTGGGTGGCAGTTGCTAAGCTAACCAATTCTCTTCCGTTGGATTGATCAACTTAATATATTGATGCATGGTATTGTCTTGGTAAAAAAAAAAAAAAAAACCTATTCGAGTTACGATGATTAGTATTTAAACTCGAAAGAGTAGTAGATCCAAACCTAAATACTCTGTAATAAAAAAAGAAGAAGAAATGAAATAACGTGTGAAATCTACTTACTTCTTATATATCAAAATTGGATACATTTAAAGTAATGTAATATGAAACACCAAATTAATGAAAATGTATGATTTCCAAGTAAGCTCAATTTTACGCCATATTTTTCGACCTAAGGGCGGTAGAGATATCGTACACTGGAATGACGTTCATATTTTATTTTTTTTAAGTGTTTAACCTTGTAAAATTGACAAAAATTCAATTGGATAGAAACAATAAAGTAACAAAATATCTAGTTATATGTAATCGTAGATTAATTTTGTTTTTTTCTTTTTGGTAGTTTAAAAACTTACTACTCACGAATCCGACCTCGGATTCGTGTACGGTGATTGAGGTGGCCTTGTGACATAAAGTAGTAGTCGGAATACATGATTTTTCACCTTGAACTCTTTGTTGTTATCCAAAAAATCAAGAAAGATATATCTCAAGAAATTCATTTGGTCTTGTCACTTGGAATTGACATAAACCAGTAGTCGGAATCTTTGTTGTTATCCAAAAAATCAAGAAAGATATATCTCAAGAAATTCTTTTGGTCTTGTCACTTGGAATTGACATAAAATAGTAGTCGGAATAATGATTTTTCACCTCAAGAACTCTTTGGGGGTTGTTTGGTTGATTTTTTTAAAAGAATTTAGATTGGTTTGTTCAAACTCCTCCTAATTTAAAGATGAGATTCAACATTTAATGTCGTTCATATCCATGTTTAGTATACACATAGATATATGACTATTATATATAATATATTTGTATATAAATTATTATTATTTTCTTAACCAATTTAATTTAAATTTATGTTTGTTTACGTATATGAGATATATGGGAGTATAAATATCATTTGTTAGCTTAAACTCATTAACTCATTTGGAACCCATTTCTTGGTGGGTTTCATAAAACCCATTAATTTGTGTTTAATTTCTGAATCTAATAGAGGTTGGGTTTCAAACTCTGAAGTAATTGTACATTTACCAAACATGAAATTGTTAGATTTTATTCTCTCACCCTTGTTTCAAAACTCTTCCAAATTTACATACCAAATAGGCCTCTTGTTGTTATCCAAAAAATGGAGAAAGTTATGTCTCGAGAAAAAACATATTGTTGAAGTGGAATGCTTGGAAGGTTAAGATCATGCAAAAAGCATCGACGATAAGGGATTCCCACAACTTTTACAACGTTGTGCGAGTCTTGGTCCATAATCCACTACTTTAATCACAAAAGGTGGGGATTCTTTTACGTTAAAGCCATGTATTGCGTTTTTATTTACATTGTAAGACCCCACATATGAGTTATTTTTCAGGGTCCCACATTAGCCAGCCATGGGGCCCTCTGACAGCCATACCGAGAACTTCGATTCACACTCGGGACCATCCACATTTAATCACACTGAATCTGGTCGGTATGAGTCGGTATCCGTGTCTGTGTCGGTGTGGATTGCAACAGTCAACGATTTGGTTAGTTAATAAATCCATACGAAATTAATAGATTAGAATTAATTATTTTTTGACATAAATTTATATATAGCATGATTCGTTAAAACGAAGAATAAACGAGATTAGTTAATGTCAAATACAAATAACACAAAATTAACATGTTTAAGTAGTATTATAAATATAAAATATTAATTTTTTATTATATTTTATCAAGTAATGACGTAATACTTATAGAAAAAATATATTTTTATTTATTATTATTATTAAATTAAATTTTTAGTTCATATAAAAAGTACGAGTATAAATTCGATTAAGTGATAATAAAATTTTAAGCATAAAACTTAGTGTTAAATTTTTTATTCGAGAGTTATATGAGTCAAATTGAATACGATCCGAAAATAAATAGATCGAAATCACACAACACAATTAACTAAATGAGTTAAATTAAAATTGATTAATACTCGACACAAATTCGAAAATGACATAACACGACACAATTGTCATTCCTAAAATTAATTAGTGATAATTAATAGTACATAATTTGAGAATTTAATTTAAAAATCTAATTAATTATAAATACTAAATTAAAAGTGAATTTTATTTAACATTAAAATTCACAATTAATTTAATAACTACATTAAAATTATCGAATTAAGCATTTATTATATCAATATTCCAAATCTATGCGTATCACTATTTACCCTTAAATTTATGCTTGATTGATGCATTTTCTCTCTCCTCCATTAGGCATTGTCCACTAGCACCACTACGTACCCTTAAATTGCCTGTGATTAGACCCTTCAATTTCGATCCCTCTTCCTCTATAAATAAAGGTCTATACACATACTCATCTTCTCATCCATCTAATCTCCATTTTGTTCTGTAGACAAAAATGGCAAGAGCCACCGTTCTAGCCCTATTCCTCTCTCTCATCTACATTGCCGGTACGGCGGAGTCCGCGGCAGTTGCAACTAATTTCATCAAGGCCTCATGCAGAACCACCCAGTACCCCGCCGTGTGCGTCCAGTCTCTGTCTACCTACGCCGCCACCATACAGCGGAGCCCAAAGCAGTTGGTTCAGACGGCGTTGTCGGTGAGCTTAGACACGGCTCAGTCCATGAAAACATTCGTAACAAGGCTCACTAAATTCAAGGGTTTGAAGAAGAGAGAGTATGCCGCCATTAAAGACTGCTTGGAGGAGATGAGTGACAATGTTGATCGGATCAGTAAATCGGTGAAAGAGCTCAAGAACATGGGTAGTACAAAGGGTCCGGAGTTCCAGTGGCACATGAGCAATGTTGAGACTTGGGTCAGTGCTGCTCTTACAGACGAGAACACTTGCACCGACGGATTCGCCGGCAAGGCGTTGAACGGAAGAATCCAAGTTTCAATTAAAGCAAGGGTTACTAATCTTGGGAAAGTCACTAGTAATGCACTGGCACTTGTAAACAACTACGCTACAAAGCACTGAATCGCCGGAGCGGCGTCGCCGACGGTGATTTAGTCTAGGGCTTTTGTGTTCTGAGAGTGTATGCTCAGCTGGGTTGGGTTTGAATTTTGATGTTCACCCAAGTCTTTGTGTGATATGTATAAGTTTACAAGATCTTCTTCTTTGTCTTTCAATTTGGAGATAAGTTTTAGTTCGATTTTGTTCAAGTGGATTTATACTTCAAATATTTTATTTTTTTGTGGGCAAAACTTATAGTTCACTAAAACTTTTAAAGGTAACCTAGTAGCCAAGTCGATTCTTTTACGAGGAAGAGATTTTAAGTTTAATATTTTTTTATATTTTAAAGGACTAATTATCGTTGTTTTTAAGGAAATATATTCTTAAATTAATTTGAGTTACGGTCATCAATCTAAGAGGTTTGAGTAGTCAATATAAACTTAAACATCCAATAATTTTTTTTAAAAAAAAGACTTATAGAATTTATATATCGAAAATAGACCATGTAATATTAAGTTTTTGTTAGCTTATATTTTAAGTTTTCTTTGTGTTAGAATTTATAGAGTCAACTTGGTTGAACTTGACTTTTAATAATTCATAAGTCTCAGGTTCAATTCATTCTCACACTCTTTAAGAGTTAGTCATTTTTATTCCTTTAGAAACATGTTCTAATCCAATTTTTTGGTAATTCATAGATCTCAAGTTCAATACATTCTCACACATCCTAAATGGTAGTCATCATTTTTCTCTTATCCTTGTTCTCTTAGAGACATGTTTTAACTCAAATCAAATCGCGATGGTCAGCTATTGAGTTTAAAGGAATAGTCTGCACAAATCTAAATACCCAAAATATTGGTGGAAGCAGCTTTCATTTGAAAATGCCTCCAATAGCTTATATCAAGCATACACTGTATCCCGAATGAAATACCTATTTCTAATTAAAATTATTGTCATCTAAACGTGCCTTCCTTGTTTTGTTCTACTAATGAATCAATCCATATAGATCATATTTCACGTTCCGATCCATGTCCAAAAAATAAAAAATTAAAAAATGCACCCAACGTCTGACTCAAGTGAGTGTGAATGCTGACATTATTGTGCAGACAAAGAGGACTAGTTACAAGACTTTGAGGGACTCTAACCACGTGAGCGATGGATTGGTGGTGGTGTTCAGATTGCGGAAAGAAAGGAAGAAATAAAGAATTTAGGGGGTAGGGTATTGGAATTATACCAAAATAACAGCGGAATATTGAAAAACTGAGAGCGAAAGGAAATCACCCACATGTATTTTGTTGACAAAAGTACTGAATGGCCCCACCTTTTTTTAGCCATTTTCAAATCCCGTGGACTTATATCTAATTTCTTAAATTTTGGAGAACCTTTTTCTAATTATTTTATTAAGGTTAGGCACCAGTGTTCGAGTTTGCAAAAATTTAGTATCACCCTTAAAAACTTAGTATCGGTCGATTCTAAGTTGGAAACGTTGCTCGGGTCATTTAATTCTATAACTTAACATCGATCTTAATATGTTGGGATTGATTCAAAAACTTTTAGATCAATCGATGTTAACTTGACCAAATTGAGTCATGTTTTTCAACACAGCAAGACTGGCTGCTGTGCATGAATTCATGTAGTGTCCTAGTAAGCTTAAGCCAGCTTAATGAATGCAGTGGACCATTACTCTACCCATGTGTTTCTTTTAAAATAACACAATAAACATCCTTAATGTCTAGGCTAATGTCACTGTGTGGATACAAAAATGTTGAGAGTAGGGTTTTGATCCTCATTGCTATGTTAGAGTAGTGACATGGTGTAATCGTGACACCACATCTATTCTCGTAATAGAAAAAGGAAAAAAGAGTAATGTGAACCCATAGAGATCGGGGCCTAAAACATTCGAAAATTTTGAGAAAAAAAAACTATAAATTGATAGAGATAAGCCAACTAAAAAGAAATACGAAAACTATGAAAATTGGGGTGAAACTGTGATATCCCAAATTTAAAAAAAAAGAAAAGAAAAAGTACGGCATTGTATTCTAAGTGTCAAAATGTATTCATTTATTTCTTTTGTTTTCACACATCAAGAAACTAAAAATGGAGAAGTAGGCTGTGTCCATGTTCTATTCCAGGCCTGAATCTTATGGGCTGAGCAAGGCGGACTCTGGCCCATAGCTGCCCGGTAATGGATATAATACTGTTCTTTCTGTTTTCTTGTGGATTACAAAATGTAGCCCAACATGCAGAAATTCCATGAGAACTTCAGTATAAGCCCAAGTTTCCTGGCCCAAAAAGAGACTGGCCCACGGGGAGCTCTAATTCTTTTCCATGTGAACCTCTTGAATCTCTGATCAAAAAAAAAAAAAAAACCTCTTCAGAAAATTTTGATTGCTTGTAAGGTATTCAGTGTCATGTGGTGTTTACAAAGAGAAATTATTAATTTTTTGTTCAATGGTAAGGGATATCTGGAGTAACTTATACACAATTCGACTAACCCTCTTCTCGGTTCAGTCAAAGACAAATCATCTATGCTAGAACTAAGATATTCATGAGGGATAAATTTGTCATGACCTAATCCCAAGGGATTGNTGGTGTTTACAAAGAGAAATTATTAATTTTTTGTTCAATGGTAAGGGATATCTGGAGTAACTTATACACACTTTGACTAACCCTCTTCTCGGTTCAGTCAAAGACAAATCATCTATGCTAGAACTAGGATATTCTTGTTGTCATGACCTGATCCCAAGGGATTANAGACAAATCATCTATGCTAGAACTAAGATATTCATGAGGGATAAATTTGTCATGACCTAATCCCAAGGGATTATCAAAATTTGATGGCAGGACGTCTAAATTTACAACTCATCTATGTTATAACTTGAACTACCTTTGAAATTAGAAAGAGAAATTGTCACAACACTTGTATGTTGAACTCACAAGTTAACTTATAGGGATGAGATAGGAATTATTCTTGAAGCTTATGCAATTCTTCCTTGAAGCTTATCAATTCTTCTATTTGTTTTTTTTCATTTTTTTGGGCAATTGAAGCTTAATTATGTAATTATAGATTAGAGATTTTTGACCTGTAATAGTTTGCTTAATCCCCAATACAGGAAAGCACATGGGTTATACCTTAAAAAATGGCTGGTTGGGGCCTTCATGTTGCAAAAAAATAAAATAAAATGGAATATAAGCTTCTTCATTTGAAAATGAGAGTAGCTTGCTATGCACATTAACAATCCTACACTCAAACAAACACAGGATTAGCAATCCATTATTAGCACAATATGTTACGTAAGCAAACAACACTAGACAAATTGTTTCAAAAAGTAAGGTATAAGTTGCTTAAGTGTATTGACAAACAAGCATGTCATAGTCGCCTGTAATTCATTAGTTTTTTTTTTACTGAGAAGAGATTAAATTTGGTTGGAGCAGTCATTTCTCATCAAGGTTTAGGCCATTCAGCCAATTCAAGCTCTTGCGAGATTAAATTTTTTTATTTGGTAAAAAAGAGTCGCTAAGTCTCTCTAAGAAAGGCAATACAAGCTAAATCGGCTCTGAGAGCTTTGAGGACTTGATGAGGAGGAACTAACAGTTCCACGAAGCCTTGTTGCTACATCCTCGCAAAGGTTGGCTTTCAGCAGATGCTTACAATTTGCAATCAGCGCCTTATTGGGTGGTCTTCCTCTTGTGGTTTGGTGAAGAGGGTGAAAGCCTTCACTGAGTCACTGAGTCTGTTTCCAATATCACTTAGTTGTATCTCTTGCTGTGGATCATTTGGAAACTACCCAAAGTGTTGCGAGAAAACTCATGAGTATNTTTGGAGAACCTTTTTCTAATTATTTTATTAAGGTTAGGCACCAGTGTTCGAGTTTGCAAAAATTTAGTATCACCCTTAAAAACTTAGTATCGGTCGATTCTAAGTTGGAAACGATGCTCGGGTCATTTAGTTCTATAACTTAACATCGATCTTAATATGTTGGTATTGATTCAAAAACTTTTAGATCAATCGATGTTAACTTGACCAAATTGAGTCATGTTTTTCAACACAGCAGGACTGGCTGCTGTGCATGAATTCATGTAGTGTCCTAGTAAGCTTAAGCCAGCTTAATGAATGCAGTGGACCATTACTTTACCCATGTGTTTCTTTTAAAATAACACAATAAACATCCTTAATGTCTAGGCTAATGTCACTGTGTGGATACAAAAATGTTGAGAGTAGGGTTTTGATCCTCATTGCTATGTTAGAGTAGTGACATGGTGTAATCGTGACACCACATCTATTCTCGTAATAGAAAAAGGAAAAAAGAGTAATGTGAACCCATAGAGATCGGGGCCTAAAACATTCGAAAATTTTGAGAAAAAAAAACTATAAATTGATAGAGATAAGCCAACTAAAAAGAAATACGAAAACTATGAAAATTGGGGTGAAACTGTGATATCCCAAATTTAAAAAAAAAAAAAAAAAAAAGTACGGCATTGTATTCTAAGTGTCAAAATGTATTCATTTATTTCTTTTGTTTTCACACATCAAGAAACTAAAAATGGAGAAGTAGGCTGTGTCCATGTTCTATTCCAGGCCTGAATCATGGGCTGAGCAAGGCGGACTCTGGCCCATAGCTGCCCGGTAATGGATATAATACTGTTCTTTCTGTTTTCTTGTGGATTACAAAATGTAGCCCAACATGCAGAAATTCCACGAGAACTTCAGTATAAGCCCAAGTTTCCTGGCCCAAAAAGAGACTGGCCCACGGGGAGCTCTAATTCTTTTCCATGTGAACCTCTTGAATCTCTGATCAAAAAAAAAAAAAAAACCTCTTCAGAAAATTTTGATTGCTTGTAAGGTATTCAGTGTCATGTGGTGTTTACAAAGAGAAATTATTAATTTTTTGTTCAATGGTAAGGGATATCTGGAGTAACTTATACACAATTCGACTAACCCTCTTCTCGGTTCAGTCAAAGACAAATCATCTATGCTAGAACTAAGATATTCATGAGGGATAAAGTTGTCATGACCTAATCCCAAGGGATTATCAAAATTTGATGGCAGGACGTCTAAATTTACAACTCATCTATGTTATAACTTGAACTACCTTTGAAATTAGAAAGAGAAATTGTCACAACACTTGTATGTTGAACTCACAAGTTAACTTATAGGGATGAGATAGGAATTATTCTTGAAGCTTATGCAATTCTTCCTTGAAGCTTATCAATTCTTCTATTTGTTTTTTTTCATTTTTTTGGGCAATTGAAGCTTAATTATGTAATTATAGATTAGAGATTTTTGACCTGTAATAGTTTGCTTAATCCCCAATACTGGAAAGCACATGGGTTATACCTTAAAAAATGGCTGGTAGGGGCCTTCATGTTGCAAAAAAATAAAATAAAATGGAATATAAGCTTCTTCATTTGAAAATGAGAGTAGCTTGCTATGCACATTAACAATCCTACACTCAAACAAACACAGGATTAGCAATCCATTATTAGCACAATATGTTACGTAAGCAAACAACACTAGACAAATTGTTTCAAAAAGTAAGGTATAAGTTGCTTAAGTGTATTGACAAACAAGCATGTCATAGTCGCCTGTAATTCATTAGTTTTTTTTTTACTGAGAAGAGATTAAATTTGGTTGGAGCAGTCATTTCTCATCAAGGTTTAGGCCATTCAGCCAATTCAAGCTCTTGCGAGATTAAATTTTTTTATTTGGTAAAAAAGAGTCGCTAAGTCTCTCTAAGAAAGGCAATACAAGCTAAATCGGCTCTGAGAGCTTTGAGGACTTGATGAGGAGGAACTAACAGTTCCACGAAGCCTTGTTGCTACATCCTCGCAAAGGTTGGCTTTCAGCAGATGCTTACAATTTGCAATCAGCGCCTTATTGGGTGGTCTTCCTCTTGTGGTTTGGTGAAGAGGGTGAAAGCCTTCACTGAGTCACTGAGTCTGTTTCCAATATCACTTAGTTGTATCTCTTGCTGTGGATCATTTGGAAACTACCCAAAGTGTTGCGAGAAAACTCATGAGTATTACACAGACTTAAAAAATTAATTTTAAAATTTGACTAAATGATGTTGCTGTTATATTTCTTATTAATTTTATTGAGTTCGAGTATTTATTGGAATCCACTATGTTATTGGAACTAAATTTGCTGACCTAATTCACTATAACATTTGGATTGACTGTGAACTCTATCAAACATTGAAATTTGGTGTTAATCCAATGATTTCAATGAAGTCACGTCATTAGATCAGCAAATTATGTCAGGTTTTTAGGTCTAAATAATATTTTCCTTATTCAATGATAGTGATTCATCAAAAAAATTTGGATTAATCTCAAATTACACCCTAAAAAATCGTTCAAATATTATTTTACACCTTAAAAGATAGAAATTTTGTATCAATGCACAGCTCAAGCTAACGGCCGTTAGTTTGTTCTTGAAAACTAAATGAATAAATTACACCTAGATCTCTCACATTTGAAATATTGCACCTATATCCCTTTAGAATTCAAATATGAGTAAAAATGTTCTCATAATTGGGCATCCAAATAATTTTTTTAAGTGATATATTACATTAGACATAAAAAATACTCTCTTCGTTCCTAAATATATGTCGTTTTACACAATTTGTTTTGTTCCACAATATCTGTCGTTTAATGAAACCAAAGCATAATTAATATTTTTTTTTCAAATTTACCCTTATCTATGTTTTCCAATAAGCGCTTAATAGATTAAGTGTAGGGTAAGTGTCTTTCATATTCCTTTCCTTCTCAATACGTATTGAATAAAGGTAGTTTAGTCTTGTACAATTATTTTTTACTCATATTAGAGCTATTTACTAGCTTCCTTAATCGTTGCGTAAAAACTTTAAACGACAGATATTTATGAACGGGGGGAGTATTATATAAATATCTGTATTATATTAAAAATTCAAATAATAAACTTAATTTTGGACTTTAGAGTATAATTGGCCTAAAAAATAAAAAGTAATATGAAAATTATAATTTTTTATTAGGATGAAATCATATTTTTAACGGTTATATTAACAGATATCAACGATAAGGGGTTATGTGTTACATGTGTACAAACGCTAGGAGGTGTAAGATTAATATTCTAAATGTGATGGGGTTCAAATAATTATGTGACAGGCATGAGAGGATTTAGGTGTAATTTATTTATTTACTTTTAGACGGCAACCTACGGCTATTAGTTTACACAATGATGCAAATTGCTCTTTTTGAGAGTGTAAATTAAAAATTTTAATTTTTGAGAGTAGAAATTGAGATTCGAAGAATTTTTTAAAATATAATTTAAGATTAATTCAAAAAAATTTAAATTAATTTTTTAAGTCTATTAGTTTTTAAGCCTATAGTTAAGGGTGTTCAAATTTTCGACCGGCCGTAAGTTTCTACCTTACCCTACCCTATTGAACGGCTAACCGTAAAAATCGGGTAGAAATGCGAAAGAGATTTTGGTCTTCTAACAATTTTCGGGTAGGAATGCGAAATAATCATCCATTTTCGCATTCCTACCCTATCCTATCCGCAATAATTTTTTAATATATATATAAAGTTAAAAAACTCTAAATCCTAATCATAGGCAGAACAATTATGATTTTAATATATTTCATATGATTTTAAGTTTAAACCTAAATTAATTGTTATTGTATTTTTGTAACAATAATAGTAAATTGATGTTCATACTTTATTGTGTTTTATTATAATTCTTGATGTAGTTGTTTTAGATTTTAGTGTTAATTGATTTATTGTATTGTTAAATTAGTACATATTATTTAATTAAATTATTAAAATAATTTAAAAATTAATTATTACAAAAATATTATATCATGGTCTTGAAGTTATGTGCTTCATCCTTCCAAAACACCAAGACGGCAAACACTCTCTATCTCTCTCTCTCTCACACACACACATATGTGCATTGTGTGTAGTCGCAGTTATCCGTGTAACAAGGATCTCATGATCCAAACACTATTGAGTAAAGACACAGAAAAATATTTAACTGCATGTGTCACTCCTCATATTTTAATGCAAGTCAACTGACTGTCGATTAATTACCCATCTCTTTC